CTCTCCTTTGAGAATTTAGGCAAACAAATATATTTTCATTGATGAAAACAAATTGGGAAATTTAAGCAAAGAACGAAGCTGTTGTGAAGATAGAAGTTATGGTTGCCAAGAGAGTGATCTGGTTTGTGTTTTAGCAAGACAGAGATCAGCCCACAGATGGAGAATAATTTTATCTCTCTTTGAGAATTTAGGCAAACAAATATATTTTCATTGATGAAAACAAATTGGGAAATTTAAGCAAAGAACGGTTGTTGTGAAGATAGAAGTTATGGTTGCCAAGAGAGTGATCTGGTTTGTGTTTTAGCAAGACAGAGATCAGCCCACAGATGGAGAATAATTTTATCTCTCCTTTGAGAATTTAGGCAAACAAATATATTTTCATTGATGAAAACAAATTGGGAAATTTAAGCAAAGAACGAAGCTGTTGTGAAGATAGAAGTTATGGTTGCCAAGAGAGTGATCTGGTTTGTGTTTTAGCAAGACAGAGATCAGCCCACAGATGGAGAATAATTTTATCTCTCCTTTGAGAATTTAGGCAAACAAATATATTTTCATTGATGAAAACAAATTGGGAAATTTAAGCAAAGAACGAAGCTGTTGTGAAGATAGAAGTTATGGTTGCCAAGAGAGTGATCTGGTTTGTGTTTTAGCAAGACAGAGATCAGCCCACAGATGGAGAATAATTTTATCTCTCCTTTGAGAATTTAGGCAAACAAATATATTTTCATTGATGAAAACAAATTGGGAAATTTAAGCAAAAACGAAGCTGTTGTGAAGATAGAAGTTATGGTTGCCAAGAGAGTGATCTGGTTTGTGTTTTAGCAAGACAGAGATCAGCCCACAGATGGAGAATAATTTTATCTCTCCTTTGAGAATTTAGGCAAACAAATATATTTTCATTGATGAAAACAAATTGGGAAATTTAAGCAAAAATCGAAGCTGTTGTGAAGATAGAAGTTATGGTTGCCAAGAGAGGATCTGGTTTGTGTTTTAGCAAGACAGAGATCAGCCCACAGATGGAGAATAATTTTATCTCTCCTTTGAGAATTTAGGCAAACAAATATATTTTCATTGATGAAAACAAATTGGGAAATTTAAGCAAAGAACGAAGCTGTTGTGAAGATAGAAGTTATGGTTGCCAAGAGAGTGATCTGGTTTGTGTTTTAGCAAGACAGAGATCAGCCCACAGATGGAGAATAATTTTATCTCTCCTTTGAGAATTTAGGCAAACAAATATATTTTCATTGATGAAAAACAAATTGGGAAATTTAAGCAAAGAACGAAGCTGTTGTGAAGATAGAAGTTATGGTTGCCAAGAGAGTGATCTGGTTTGTGTTTTAGCAAGACAGAGATCAGCCCACAGATGGAGAATAATTTTATCTCCTTTGAGAATTTAGGCAAACAAATATATTTTCATTGATGAAAACAAATTGGGAAATTTAAGCAAAGAACGGCTGTTGTGAAGATAGAAGTTATAGTTGCCAAGAGAGTGATCTGGTTTGTGTTTTAGCAAGACAGAGATCAGCCCACAGATGGAGAATAATTTTATCTCTCCTTTGAGAATTTAGGCAAACAAATATATTTTCATTGATGAAAACAAATTGGGAAATTTAAGCAAAAGAACGAAGCTGTTGTGAAGATAGAAGTTATGGTTGCCAAGAGAGTGATCTGGTTTGTGTTTTAGCAAGACAGAGATCAGCCCACAGATGGAGAATAATTTTATCTCTCCTTTGAGAATTTAGGCAAACAAATATATTTTCATTGATGAAAACAAATTGGGAAATTTAAGCAAAAGAACGAAGCTGTTGTGAAGATAGAAGTTATGGTTGCCAAGAGAGTGATCTGGTTTGTGTTTTAGCAAGACAGAGATCAGCCCACAGATGGAGAATAATTTTATCTCTCCTTTGAGAATTTAGGCAAACAAATATATTTTCATTGATGAAAACAAATTGGGAA